TTTTTTTGAGTTGGAGTCTTCGTTGCCCAGACTGGAGTGCAGTGGCATACTCACGGCCACCGCAACCTTGACCTACTGGACTCAGGCGATTATTACGCCTCAGCCTTCCAAGTAGCCAGAACTACAGGTGCACGCTATCATGCCCGGCTAATTTTCTGATTTATTGTAGAGATGAGGTCTCACCAAGTTGTTCAGGCTGTTCTCAAATCCCCTCACTTCGGCCTCCCAAAGTGCTGGGATTACAGGTTTGAGTCACCGCACCCAGCCTGCCCTTCTTTTTTTATAGCATCTAGCAAAACTTATTTTTCTGGTTATGACAGATGGAAAGTTGCTACTGTTATTTAGGTTGATAGATATAATTTCACTCTTGTTTAATACATCATTTAAGCTATGGTATATTTTCTCCTGCCTGTGTGTGAAGCCAGTGTTTCATCTTCACACACTGCTGTCACTGTGGTTTGTCTCAGGTGCCCCAGGTGGGAAGGGACAACCAGGAGACAGGGGGCCTCCAGGACCAGTTGGAATGAAGGGTCTCCCTGGACTCCCGGGACTGCCTGGGACACATGGACCCCCAGGCTCCCCAGGAGTCCCAGGCCCCTTTGGCGATGATGGGCCACCTGGTCTTCCAGGCCCCAAAGGTAGGTAATGCCTTTTCATTATTTCCTCCTATTTTATAAACCTGAAAACCATGCCAAGTAAAGCCTGTTACATATGACCATACTAGCAGGGTTTACTGTTAGAATGACTTTGTCCTTTCCTTGATGATATCTCCCCTCTTCTTGTCCTCTGTACTGTTATTCTTTCCAGTGACAGAATGTTTCGGTGTAGGTCAATGGGAAAAGGAGTGTGAGGGTGTTAGGTCCACAGAAGCATAAACACTTCAGCTGGGTAGCACCGGTGAAGTCCTCTGGTCAGGGCTACTGCACTTTCACTTTGAATGGCCCCCTCATCCTCATCTTCATCCCCATCCTCTTCAAGCATGGTGAGATCAGGACTTACATCAGGGGCCATACTTCAGGTCCCTAGGGGAGGAAACTAAGACTGTGAGGCAGAACACAGCTATTAAATGCAGTGAGGCTGACAACTGTTGTTTACAATACATAGTCATAGATGGGCAGGAGTTTGCATCTGTAGGTGAACTGCAAAGCACACAGATATAAAAACCATACCTGCCTTTAAAATGTCTTCCTAAACATGCATGATCTCATTTCACCAGGACTGCAGGGGCTGCCTGGTTTCCAGGGCTTTCCTGGAGAGAGAGGAAAGCCTGGCCCAGAGGGATATCCTGGCAGAAAGGGAGAACCTGGGGAAAAGGGTTGTCCTGGTTTTCCTGGAGACCAGGGAATGAGAGGTGGCAAAGGTAAGTAACAGCACAGTGATGCAACATGCACTTGTCCCCGGTCTTTGATCAGAACCTATCAATGTGAACACTGAAAAATAAATTGGGACTATTCTGCAGCTTGGATTCCTCTTCCTTTCAGTAGCATTTGTTTCAGAATTTTAAACAAAATTCATTTTCCTTACTTCTCAATCTTATTAAATATAGCTATGGTGAATGAATTGCTTTGTTTTATTTTATTTTACTTTATTTTAATTTAATTTTTGAGTTGGAGTCTTACTCTGTTGCCCTGGCTGGAGGGCAGTGGCATGCTCACAGCCACCGCAGCCTCAACCTGCTGGGCTGGTGATCCTTCCACTTCAGCCTTCCAAGGAGCTGGAACTACAGATGCGCACCACCACCTGGCTAATTTTTTGATTTATTGTAGAGATGAGGTCTCACCGAGTGGCCCAGACTGGTCTTGAACCCGTGGGCTCAGGCAGTCCTCTCACCTTGATCTCCAAAAGTGCTGTGATTATAGGCATGAGACACCATGCCTGGCCTAAATTATTTTATTGATAGAAAAAAAAAAACCACAGAGAACTCTCTTAACTACTGGGAAGGGGGTACAGGCAGGGCTCCTATCCCCTAACCTGTGTTTCAATTAGAACAGGTAGGTAACCTTTTCCTGGAAAGAGCCTGATAGTATTTCAGGCTTCACGGGCCATCTGGTCTCTGTCACAGCTACTCATCTTGGCTTTTGTAGTATGAATACTGCCACAGACAACACATAAACAAACAAACATAAAATAAAAATTTTCTACAAAATGTTCCTTATGGATATTAAGATTTGAATTTCATATGATTTTCATGTCACCAAATATTACCTTGTTTTGTGTTTTCCCCCAAGTACTTAAAAGTGTAAAAGCCATACCTATCTCATGGGATGCACATACCCGCAGCAGAAGGGACTTGGCCCGTGGGCTAGAGTTGGCCAATCCCTGAACTACAATGAGTTCATTTTCATCCAGGCTCTGAGCTGAGCTTCCTCCAAGCATCAATTAAAGAAAGAATTTTAGTTACTATTAAAAAATAAGTTTCAGGACCACTGGTTTAAATGTTCTGTGCCCATACCAGATAAATGTTTACTTTTACTCCTTAGCCTGGAGGCAGCAGTAGTGAAGATAACATTTCATTTCAGTGTTGAGGGAAAAAAATGCTTGACAATTTGTAGAAACAAGGATTTTGTCCTTAAAGGCTTTTAGGCAAATAGTTTCCTATTTAATTAAAATTACCTTTTATTCTTAGTTCATTGATTCTACTGTTATTTATTTGTTTTACTTGCTTGTAAATTATTTATGTAGAATCAAGGAATCAGTCACTCTTGCTGGTTTAGATAAGTGATGTTTGCTGTGCGATTATGCGACTATGCAATTATCTTACTAAAAATTAAAAATTGGATTAATGCCAGTGACTACTAGCGAATTAGCTCTTTGAAATTAAAAAGAAAAAAGGAAAAAAAAAGGCCCGGGTTTGTAGTGTTTGCTGATTGCTGTGGTGTAAATACTCCTATGGTGATTGATTTAAAGTTCCCAACAGTTTAACGACTGCGTTGCAAAATTCTTGAATTATTTATAATTGGCTCTCACCAAGCTGGTAGGAGCCCAATGCTGCATACTGCTACAGGGGACGGAGTTTACAAAATCAGGCAGAAATATGGTATGCCCTTCCTTATCTTTTAGAAGTCACTATGTGGAGAACCACATTAAGGTAAGTGTCTGCTCTTTTACTGTAAGGAAAGTAAGAGAGAGTGACTAGGAAGGGGAATGTGTGAAACTGGAAATATGAGATGGGTGATCCGAATTTCATAGGATAAAGGGCCATTTTTGTACACTAGAACTTTTAAAACCTGTTTTAACTCACTGAAGACTCCGGCCAGTTTGGTTGAATTTAGCAAATATTCACTGAACACTCCTAGTGCGCAGGATCCGTGGCTGGACAAGTGTGGACAGGAATATAATAGGCATAGCCCTTTCTTTACGAAATCAGCCAGTGATGTTGGCATTGTGTGGTCCATAAACAAAAATACAGCTTAGTAGGTTAAATGGGAATTTATAAACTGAAAATGAAGTGTGGTCACAGACGAATTACGTGTGTGGTGTTTCTGTTTGCTTTGCTCTTGTATAATTCATATCTAAAGGGGCAAGAGGACCCTCAGGAGATGAAGGAGAAATGGCTATTGTTTCCAAAAAGGGGAAACCTGGGGAACCTGGATCTCCTGGAGATGATGGATTCCCAGGAGAAAGAGGTAAACACTAAAGATTTTTAACTATATCAGATAAGTTGACATCTTTGCAGATCATTCAAGCAAGCATGTGTACTAGGTGACTTTCCCAATAACACTGAGATCAGGAAAGGTCATTTTTAGATATAAATACACATGAATAGAACTTGTGGTACATTTTTTGCTTTTCCATGCTAAAACTTAGCTGAAGTTCATATGTATTTGTAGATTTGGATATTCCAACTAGGAACAACCTGAGTTATACATAAAATACTGGTTCCAGGTTGGGTAGTTGGTTTCAAAGTGAATAGCTCAATGACTGTCTCTTTTTTGACCAATGCCTCTCAAACATCATTATGCATATGAAACACCTCGGGTCTGTGTTTAAAATGTAGATTCTGAATCAGCAAGTCTGGGGTAGCCAGAGATCCTGTCTTTCTAACAAGAGCCCCAAGGCCCCATGCTGCTGGTCCACAGAAACATCCCCTACTGAGGATGTTGACAACATTTGTGTTCTCTCCCAAGTTCAAACTTAATCTGCATGTGGCCTGGGTTTTCTTGTTCTGCCCTTAACTAGTTGTTAGGCGACAAATATTTTAACTTCTCTGGGTACTTTTTCTTTTGTAAAATAAGCATGTTGAAGCAAACGATCCTGTATTCCTTCCTACCTCTGATAGTCTCAAGTGTGTTCACGGGCAGCTTCTTTTTTAGTGAGGTCACTAAAACCAAAAACCATCATGAAGAGGTTTAGGGCAGGAACCAGGATTCCCAATACCTTTGTCTTCATTTCCTAAAAAGTAGGACCAAGTCCCTCAGCTGAACTATAGCCGAACTCAAGATTTCAGTAATGAGGTTTGTAACACTTTCAACCTCATCAGGTGATAAAGGAAGTCCAGGGATACAAGGGAGAAGAGGCGAGCCAGGAAGACATGGGCCACCTGGATTTCACAGAGGGGAACCTGGTAGAAAAGGTCAGCCAGGGCCTCCTGGATCCCCGGGCCTTCCAGGCTCACCTGGGCTCAGAGGGATCATTGGCTTCCCAGGATTTCCAGGCGACCAGGTAAGGGGCTACTGCTCTGTGAAGAAAGATAGAATAAAACCTTTCTGCTCTTGGGATTCCCATACACAGTTTCAGAGTCCTTATTTGCCCATGTACACCATTGCCCTTTCACTGGCTCTTATTTTTTAAATTATTTTATTTTAAAAATGTGGGGTATAAATCAGGATTAGGTACATATGTGATCATCATACAGGTAAAGTGTGGGTACCCTTATTGATGCTATGTGCCCCCCCGCCGGCAGTGTCCACTGCTGCCGATCCCTTTCTTATGGTATTATGATAAATGCTCAAGGTTCACTTATGAGTGAGTACATATGGTACTCAGATCTTTGTTTCTGTGGTAAATCACTGAGTATTATAGACTCTAATTCCATCCACTTTACTGCAAAGTTCATAATTTTGTTTTCCTTATGGACACATAATATTCCATCGTGTAACTGTACCACATTTTCTTTATCCAGTCCACTTTTGATGGGCAGCATGGTTGGTTCCATGTTTTTGCTATTGTGAATAATGCTGCAATAAACATGCGTGTGCAGATATCTTTATTATAGAGTGTTTTGAGTTTCTCTGGGTATATTCCCAGAAGAGGGATGCTAGGTCGTACGGAAGGTCGATTTTCAGATTTTTTAGAAATCGCCACACTGTTTTCCACAGAGGTTGTACTAATTTACATTCCCACATGTAAACTGGCTTTTAGAATGTAAGGAATAGCACCAGGGAAGGATGGAGCCTTCTGGAAGGCCATGATACAACTGAAGTTTCTGACCAGTGCTTGTTTGTGCCTGGTTCCCTTAACATGGATGAAGAAGTCACATAATCCATAAAGACTTGCTTCACGACTGCTGGTTTAATGGAGTGAAAAGTTGTCCTGAAAAATTACTTAAATTTTGTTTCTTGGCCTTCCTATCTCCATTTTCAGATATCACAGATCTTGCTTTACATATATTTGGTCTTCACAGTCATGAGTAAAATACTCCTTGAGAAGCCCAGAGGCACAATAAATGTAGTAGACTACATTATACTTCTGGAAAATATATGCTGTAACTCACTATCCATCTTATTTGGATCTTTAAAGCCTTTGGTGTGATAGGACTTGTAAAAATATTTTATTTAGTATCAACTTGACCATTCAAAATGTAAAATTCAAGTTATGCAATGCAGTTACTGTTTTACAACCAAGTATAGAGAATGGGATGCTGCCTGTTGCTATTGATTGCTCTAATTCTGCAGAAGTTTTACCAGTTTTTAGAAACTAGGTACATGTAGTTGGATGCTTTAAATGCATTACAATTTTCTTTACCATTGCAAATCATAAAAACCAATTTTGTTACAGAAAATTATAACTGATCATGTCATGTACGTGTCATTTGTATTTGAAATCTGATTAAGGTCTTCTGTTTCTTTAAACTGTCAGGGTGAGTTGGGTTCTCCGGGGCCCCCTGGATTCTCAGGAACTGATGGAGCAAGGGGACCTAAAGGTATGATTTGGACTATACCTACCACCTGTCAAAAACTCACAGTTACAAGAATCACAGGACTCAAAGACCAAAGCCATGACTTCCACCAGGTGTTAAGAGTTCACTTAAAAATTTTCAAGCCAGGTCAGGTGTGGTGGCTTAAGCCTGTAATCCCAGCATTTAGGAGGCCAAGGTGAGGGGACTGTCTGAACCCACGGGTTCGAGAACAGCCCGGGCAACTTGGCGAGACTTCATTTCTACAATAAAGCAAAAAATTAGCCAGGTGTGGTAGCATGTGCCTGTAGTTCTGGCTACTGCGAAGGCTGAGGCAGAAGGATCGCCTGAGCCCAGCAGGTCGGCGCTGGGGTGGCCATGAGCGTGCCACTGCACCCCAGCCTGGGAGGCGGAGTAAGACTCCAACTCAAAAATCAAAAACAAAAAACCACAAAAAACCCAAGCCAGATGTAATCTATAACTGGGTTATTTTTACCATAAAGGTCAGAAAAATATTTTTTCCCAAATGGCCAGGTAATAAAATATTTTCAACCTTGTGGCTCCTATGGGCTCAGTCACAACTACTTAACTTTGTAGTTGTAGTATGAAAGCAACCATAGCCAATAGGCAAACAAAAGGATGTGCTGTGTTGCAATAAATTTTTATTTACAAAATAGGCTGTAGGCTGTATTTGGCCCCATAGGCCTTAGTTCACCTTGTGCCAAAAACAATGCAGTCTTATAACACACCTGACATTCTACTTCATCAGGTTTTCAGGGAAACAGAAATAGAAAGTTAACCTAAGATCAAAAGTGACCTTAGAGAAAGAAAGTTTACATTAACCTTTTATCCGACAAACAAGCAAACAAAGATCAGGATATCTTAAATGACAATGTTTGCATAAAACCTTTAATATTTTCACTATCTTGGTATACCATGGGGCTAATATTTTTCTTTAAATCAACTTTAAAACAATTTACCATTCTAATTGTAGCCTAAACCTCGCTATCTGGAAATTCACAAGTTCAATGTGCTGTTAAACTTTATTTTAATCTAAATTAAAATAAATAACTTTAAAATATAAAATACTAAGGAATGAGCCACCTAAAACTCTCTTGCTTGACACATTGAGAGGCACGCTATAAATAACATAATAATTGCTATGACAAACATAAATTGTGCATGCTTATTTATTCAGAAATAATAATCTAGATTTCTTTTTCAGATGTAATTACAAATAAAGTTTTTTTTTTTTTTGAGTTGGAGCCTCACTCAGTCGCCCAGACTGGAGTGCAGTGGCCACTCCCAGCCACCGCAGCCTCGACCTGCTGGGATCCAACGATCCTTCCGCCTCAGCCTTCCGAGTAGCCGGAATTACAGGCGTGCACTACCACGCCCGGCTGATTTTTTTTATTTATTGTAGACACGAGGTCTCGCTGCCCAGGCAGGTCTCAAACCTGAGGGCTCAGGCAATCCACTCACCTCAGCCTCCCAACAAAGTTTTTATATTTTATTTTGGTATTTTGTAGCTTCAGGGATCAGAAATCACTCCTGCTTACCTATGAATGTATTATAATCCCTTTGCTTTTCTTTCCCAATACAAACCTGCCCCTTCTTATTTCCTTCATACTTGTATTGGGTCATGTTTGCAGGAAGTTGAAATCACTGTACCTGGAGTTCAAAAGTGGCTTATGTACTTCACAGATAGAAGATGTAATTCTGCCAGAGCATAGCCCTTAGGCAACCCATATTTTCTTACTTTTTCCCGTGGTTTGTTTTTCACTTAATTGTTTACCAACTGGTTTCTTCACTCTCTATTCAGTGTCTTTTGCGGGGTATTTTTGGATATGTTAGGGTTGCATCAAGGAAACTCATGATAATCCTTTTAGTTTCTGCCCCAGTAGCCAAGGACTTCCAATTCTTGTTTTTTAATTCCAGCTTCTCAAGGGAAGACTGGCTGACCTGGGATGGGCCAGATTCTTACCCCTCAAGCAATTAACCATGATTATAAGTAGGGTTGGGGGGAGAGACACTTCCACAAGGTATGGGTGGGACCCCCTTAAAAGGGGACATTAGTAGGCAGGTACTGTAAGACATGCCTAACATCGCTCTCTTATTCTCTTTAACCTCATCTGTTGTTTTCCCCTTCCTTTCTTTCCACTTAAAACTGACTCCTAACTATAATGTAGGTCCTTGTGTCTGGTAGCATTATGCAGCAGCATCCAATAGCATTATGAGACTGTAATCATTGCCTACATTGGCCTTTGAATGTACAATTGCTTGTCACGTCATCAGTGGAGTAGGTCTTTGTGATTTTATTTTTACAAAAAAAATTGAGCTTTCATATAAGCGAGCTTGAAATATGATTGCAGCAGGTGAAACAGTGACCATTTCTGCTTTTTAAAAATATTTTATAGCCGGGCTCGGTGGCTCAGCCTGTAATCCCGCGCCTTTGGGAGGCTGAGGTG